TATTAATATATAACAGTAAACCTCTTCTATATTAATAGAAGAGTTTACATTATCAATATTTTCTTATTTACATCAAGAAAACACAAATGATATAAATTTTTATCGAATTGACCAAGCTTCTGATAAGGCTACCCAAAATAAAATCAGTAAAACGTAAAATGTCTGTTACATTTAAATGGAAATGGAAGGAGGATGCTAGCTTTTACTTGGTTCAAATGAGAAATGACCATTATAAGTGGATTTTAGTTACACTTGTTGTGTAATTAAAATCCTTAACCCTTCCAGGACCATAAGATGCCGACTAAAAACGCAAATACATACAACACATTTTTAGCAATACTTAAGCTATTTAGCAGCAAGTGATATAAACGAGAGTGTGTTTCCTATAATTTCATAAGTTTTATTTTGACATTCGTAAAAAAAATATTGATTCAATAATAATTGAATAATCGATAACAATTTTTGTAGAAGGGAAAAAATATTTCTCTTGCGCGTGAAAGGGCTAACCTCCATGATGGCAAGTACATAGAAATACCAACACTAACATTAGGTCCCTATATAAATAATATTTCTTTTTGACGCCATATTTTAAAGCACTTAAAATTTGCCCTAGTTTATGCCGAAAAGTATAAACCAAATTCAACCATAAGAAATGAAAGTTCAGAATCGTGTAGATGCTAACGTGGTCAGTAAAATGTGATAATTGGTGCGCGTAATCACATCACTACTTAATTGGATCTGCAGACACCAACTCAATGCTGTTACGAAATTTGAGAATGCTTGGGATCTAGACGAAATTATCCATCGAGATTTCTTGAAAGATTTTTATTAAATTAAGTAGTTTTACCAGAAACATAACATACAATAGTGATAATAATTATATAATATATCAAAAAGGTATATAATACAAAAATAATAAAGAGCAGAGAAAACTATAACGGAAGAGGAAAAATAATTTATAAACCAACATATTATACGCATTCCCAAAAACGTTATTAATTCGAAACAATTGTGGAACGCGTTGTTGGTACATCGAAATTTACACAAAAGACAATAATAATACAAAAAAATATTATAATATACATGCACTAACAAAATACCGAATATCATCATATTTTATTCAGTAGACACTGAAGAGACGAAGTTTGAAGAAATTGAGAATAATGCTAAACAAAAAAACAAAATGTTAGTGACCCTACGCAATAATTCATAGGAATTTATGAATGGTCGTTTTTTTAATCTTTCAAGAAAAAGATAATGGTTTTTGGTGTTGAAGGAGCACGCACCCACTTGTATTGACTCTATATTATTTTTTAGATGAGTATATTTCAGGTAAAATAAATTTAGAAAGTACTCATGTGGCACGGCTGTAACTCGATCCCGACAGATGGCGTACCGTGCCTATGCTATGCCACTGACCTACTTGATGTTGATAAAGGATTTTTTTTATACTAACTAAGCCGGCGACTTTGTCCGAGTAAAATACTTGTTTTGGACATCATATTATTTATTTTTGCAAACAACCTCCACCAGCTTTATATATCATACCCTACGACGTCATCCGTGTCCCACTCTTGCAAGTTAATCTTAAAGAATCCCGAACATTTTTTAGATCATTAAAGAAGATTCATGTTTTTATACAACATTTTAGGTACTTAAATCGATTTTACGGCGCACGCACCTGAAGCCCTCAAAAATGAATATTTTTCCAGCTATTTCCACACTTTCCACTGTTTCTTCCCTCCTATTGGTCGCAGTCTGATGTTTTAAAGCCTAAAGCCTTCCTCGCGACAAATGGTCCAACCGAAACAGACTAACACAGAACAACTACGAATTTTTCAATTCGAACCAGTGGTTCCTAAGAAAAGCGAGATCAAACTCTTTTAATATTAGTATAGATATGGAATATGTAACAGCACAGCTCCAGAAATGAAAGGCTGTGGCTACCCTTGGCGCATTGCTGACCCTTTACGTAACGTCTGCATATCTATTGGTCTCCACATTCCTTCACTTAACTAATATTACGTTTACAAGTAGTAGCCTTAAATCATATGTATTGCTTAAAATCTTTTGGCTAAAGTAATACTTTTTTGATTATTATTAAATTAAAACAAATCAATTTTAAATGAAACACTTTAAACGGTTTAAAATGCGACATGTCTTAGTTAAACTTATCTACAAATTATTTTAACTACGGCCGACATATATATTTTTTAATTCCAACTAGTTATAATATGTTTTATGATTAAATTACTTATAATAATAAAAGAGCTGTATTACAATTATAGACATTTTTATATAGCTCTTTACTAAATATCACTACTTCATTTATTTTGAAAGGTTTTACTTATTAATAGCGATTGAAATATTGGGGTCGCAATTATTTGAGCTTACTTTTGGTCTCTTTCACCTTGTTGATTAAATATAAATATTAATCATTAACATTTTTAATCTGTCCGTCGGCACAGAGCTTTAGTTCACAAAGTTTTCAAAGGCATCAGCGTTCTTTTGAACAAACTTGCAAAGTACGGCAAATAATAAATTGAAAAATGTGGGAAAGCGAATCTCTCTAGTTACGTCACTACAACTAAGTAAGTCAAGGGTTCTTCAGCGGAGTAAAAACATCGCCGTTATCAACTTTAATTGGAGCATTTTTCGCTAAATAAAACCTTACGCCGTATTAATTTCGCTTATCAAAGCAAAGTGCTAACTTATACCTCTCACTATCACAAGCAAAGGAATAATAACCAAATACTCGTAGTTAGACAGTTAGAATTTTCGAAAATAATTTGGGCACTTTAATTTCTGTAACTGGAAACACAACAAATATATATTATGAAAAGAGAATACAATTATTTTAGACTGCTTGAAAATAACATGGGATTTATAATATTTATATCAATATAAGGTTCAATGACTAATGGCGTTGCTTAGGTGTAACATCGCATTAACCGCGAAAGAATCCTGGGTTCGATTCCAGGGGAATGTCTCGCTCAGGCGAGGCACAGTAAAACAGACACAGAAGTGTCATCGCCACAGTCCCCACAGGGGACGTGAACGGAATGTCACTTTTTTATATCGATACGAGCCGATACCAAACACACGAAAAATAACGTACCCATAACTTTTCCAGTAGTTGCCCAACTAAGTTTGATGCAGTAAACGAGCCTGCAAACTGAAGCACTGGCAAGTCTAAGGAGATTAAAATTTGTTGGGGAAAAGCCAAGTTTTGAAGTTCCATCATACGGAGATATGGAGTAACTAACGACTGCACCAGAACTTTATGAAACTGGCAAATATACTTCTAAAACAATATGGAAACGGACGCTTTGTGATTTTAACTACAATCACGTAATTTTAGATATATTAATAAATGGTTTAAATTCTTTAGCTCCTCTTCGTCGCAGCGCGATTTTTTATAGTCAAAACCTTCCTCGTTAAATGCTCTAACCAACACAAATACATATAATTTTTCAACTGGAAACAGTACTTCCAGAGATAAGTGCGTTCATACGAACGAACAAAGAAACTCTTCGGCTTTATATATTAAGTATGGGTATTTCATAAATTGGAAATAATAAAATCTATGTAATATAATTATAGTATGGTTCCATGAAGTCGCAAACGGCGTCGCCCACACATAATGTTTTCGAATTTAAGATCTAAGGATGAGTTTTTTTCTTTCTGACTTCGGATTTCCAAAAAACCTAAAAGGCCGAAAAAGGATTTCGAAAAAATAAAACTTATTATAAGATTCTGTACTATGTGAGATTAACGTTAGATGCATTTAAACTATGTCTTTTCTTCATGTATATAATGCATCTTTTAAATCATATACATATTCGTGCAGCTCTGTTTAGCGTTTGACATACACGCTTACGAAGTAACGCCTGATAACTGGGCGTTTAGGTAATAAAATTCTAGATACGAATGCGACAGAACGGATAGTGTTGCGCAACTAATAAATTGTCTGGTTTATCTGCGATCTGCAGAATTCCATTCTATTCACCTTTGATCTCGAAGAGCAGTAATTCTTAACTGACCACCTATATCGCCTATAGGTAAGTAAACCTTGTAAGTAAGCAGTCATAAGTAACTGACAAGAACGACCTTCAGCAATGTAGAATGTGAGTAGGAGGAAGAAGGGGGGAGAAAGAGGAGTTTATAAATTTAGGGAACTAAAAACCCTTATGTTAAGTAACATAAAACTTTTCTTATAGATTAGCAAGAACACAAAAATATAACGCAATCTAAATGTTACGGTGATAAAAAGTGTCTTCTACAATACAATAAAACAATTTTCTTTTCTTATATAATTCGTATATGTGTGATATATATATTATATCACTTTTAAAGTACGGATTTTTTTTATATCACGAATATAAATCAACATCATTTTATATAAAACTCAATTTAGGCGCAAAATTAAATTTGTCTGATTTGTATTAAACAAACGACTACAAAAATTGCAATACAACAGCCGTCCATATCAATTTCCCGTTAAATTAAACTACAAAGATTTGTTTTTGATTATAATGGGATTAAAATATATTTAAGATTCCATTATTATCATAACAAGCGACTCATGATTCTATCATATTTAATAGCTTTACTTTCCAATTTTCTAATTTTCACTATCGTACGTAAACGCGGCTATTTTATAACTGGAGTAGAGAAAGTTACATGCACTTTACAGTACGCAAAAGCCGGCGATGCTCCAACATTTATCACAATATGCATTGTAACACTGCGTATACTATGGACTTTGTCTATCCTTTTTACATGGATAATATCCGCTATTCTTCAAGCATCGCTCAATTGGTAAAGCAACAGCATGAAATGCTGCAGTCAGTTTTATGAATTGTTAATTTTTTTTTAATTCAAACTAAAAATATTTCAATATACATGGTACCATCTCAAGTACTTTCGACATAGAATTTACAAAAATTAAAGATTTTGGGTTAAAATAAAAAAGTGCTTCATACAACTAGTGCACCCACCTGGTGCCGCCTGTCGTCGTCTCTAGCGCGTTGTTCTGCCTGCCTCTTGCGGCGATCCTCGTCCCTCTTTTCGCGCTGCGCCTGCGCCGCCGCAGCGTGCGCACGCAGCTCATCGAGCCGCTTCCTCTGTTCCGCCTCGCGACGCTCGCGCGCAACTCTCGCTCGGTCTAGGGCCTCTGTCGAAGATAATAATTTTAGTAGACGTACGACAACAGTTACATTATGAACAAAGTCACAATCGATTTATTAAAAAAAATTTTTTTGAAGAAATACAGCCTAAGTTTAAGAAAGGAACTTGATGAACATGTAAAAATGAAACACAGTTTTTCTAAAAGAGAATAAAATAACTTTACAAAGCGTCTGAAAACTTTAATATTTTTCACACATGATGGCATTATATACATTTTAAATCAATTTAAGAATTAAAAATGTGTGTATGTCGGTTAAAAAAAATTCGACGATGACGTATGTAGGACATGGTAGCTCAAGTGGTAAGTGCAACAGTAGGCACGGAACGCTGTGGATACCGGTTCCAGTCTTGTCTGTGTCGGATTTAATTTTATATAAAACCAACTCTTTTTCTAAAGCTAATAAAAAATATTACAAAGAAAAACAATTTGCTTAACTTTATTAATACAACAGACAAATGTTGCTTTTCCCGCGAGAATACGAATTAAATAAGCCAAACTCGACGCATATTAATCCAAGTGATGACTACAATACAAACAAATCGATGACAATACCAAAGAGATTTGGCATTTAACTAAATAAGAATGCGCCTGAGTTATAAGAAATCGTACAAGGCATTGTTGCATAAGTCCCATGCATTACTTGCAAGTGTATCGCGAGAACAAAACGTTCAAGACCACAAAAGTAGGCACACAAGGGTACCTTAAGAGAAGTTCGAGGTAAACGCACCCTGGGTACAATAGAGTCGATGATCATCTACGAACCGATTAAACAGAAGCTGTGCTAAAGAATATAGTTAGTTCTTTAGTCTTTGAAACATGGATGGATGAAGCATCATTGATTTTGGACTAGAACAATTTGACTCACGTCGAAAGGTAACTGTTTAAGTATAGAAGATGTAGATTTGTTCATACACGTAACTCACGATGTAAACTACATAACTAACGTCTGTCTAGTTAAGGACAAACTCTTTACTAAGAGTAGAAATCTGAAGAGGCTTTGTTTTAACGCGTTTAGCTTGTTTTTCGAATACAAACTTTTTCTCTCAATTATAACGGACAACTGAGCTTTGTGTTGAAAAACATCTTAAAATGGACAGGCCCAGTGTGAAATGTGAAAACAACAGTGTACATTTATTCACATAAAGGGATACGTTGAAGACGGTTTAAGATACACAATAATATGTATGGAAAAATATTTGCAATGATTCTAAATAATATCGGTCCGAAAGTTGTCGGTCTATCTTTTCAGCTTAACCTTTAGAAACAAATCACTCAGAACGTGTGTATACTCGTATAAACTATAGACAGAGATTTATTCAAAGTAACTATTTTACACAGACGTGGTCGCGGACAAAGCTAGTAAATTATACGCTTTTTAAATATTACGACAAGGTGTAGTGAAAAAAATACGTTGTTACTATAACTTCGATGCAATCTCGGTTCCTTTAAAGTTTCCGTTAGTTATTTTCAGATCACGAAATACCCAAATGAGGCAAGACACACGTCGGTTTTACTTTCCTCCATGTTACTGCTCGTAACGGTCCATTTTAAAAATAATTTTTACGACTCGTTACGAATTTGATCGCATCGTGTACGAGTGAAAGTGGCGATAAAATTCTTTTCATTATAAAATGTACAATTTATTGTAGCGGTGAATAACACTTAATTGCAATCAAAAACTCGAAGTTGAGCGGTACCATCACCACCACAAATTATAACCAGTCTAATGATAAATATATGTATGTTATTATTATTATTTTTTATGTCCGAGGCAGTGACAGTGGTTACAACTTACGGCCTGCTGTTAAAAGTCGAGTCGTCATTAAAATAAATTAAAAATAACATTACTAACATATTTTGTGTTTGAAATCGTAACATGTATTTTAACTATAATTATGTAGAGACGTGTTCTCTCTCTATATAATTGAAGTATAATCTAGTACAATATTCTACATTGTACTGAGTGGATTTTAGGCGGGCTTGTTGGACTAATGAAAATATACCGGTCGTGAGTTCGACACCCACCCCGTCTTACATGTCTCTAATCTATCTGAAACATGTTGGACTTTGTCTGGAAATCTTGATATTAAATGGGTGGTAGGATAATTCCGGTCACGACAACTGTCCAAGAAAAAAATCTTACTTAATTTGTTTCTGTTTGTAATATTGAAAGCCAAAATAGGTCGACAGCGTAACTTGCGTATTTACCCGTTTAGATGCTATAAGCGGAGTACAAATAAAAAAAATTTTTTTAATGGTAGGTGACTACCATTAAAAAAGTTTTTTTTATACTTGAGGGCTAAAATAAATGCGCTTCATATTAACAAAATTCCGAATCTCCCATTACTTTTTTATACTTGACGATATCAATGCTTGATTGGATTATATTAAATCTACTAGTATTACATCCCGCATGGAAACGATTAGAGCTAATTGTAGAGTAGGTATTCCAGATAAATGCATCCTTCTGCTAGTTAGGCGAATTGGAAATTAAATACGGCGACATTTATACATACATAAATAAATAAAAAGTATATGGTGAGTATATTCCATTCATCCTGTATTCCGTAATGTACTTAGTATTAGGTAGTTAATTATGAATAAAAAAAATAAATCGCCAATATGGCTCCGTATTAAAAGTACTGTGTGTTGTTAACGCAAGTACCTAGTACACATTTAAATAAAACACGGCACTTCAAAGCGTCCAAAAAGTCCGCTCGGGCTGTCGTTAGAGTGTCCAAATGTAAATACGCGTAACTAAAATATTTCGCGTTTTAAGCAGTTAAAGTTTTATTTAATTGTTCTTTAACAGTTATACAATTGTTATAATAATGTTTAGTACTGCCAGCTACAAACAATGTTAAGTATAGGAAATACTTGTGCCATTTCAGTTTCTGATAATACTCGAATAGCAACATAAATTCGATAAATGATAAAAAAACGACAAGTACTTACTACTTTGTGGTTGCTAATTATGGCAACCACAAAGTAGTTACTTGTCGTTTTTTTATGCCCATTCATTGGCATAAATCAAAGATTTTGTTTTTACTAAACTAGAAAGATACTCCCAAAGACTTATTTACTAGCTGTGATAATTGCTTTATAATATTTATGGCTCAATTGATTCACGTTATCTATTGTTATGCCTTGCGTGTTCAAATGGTATTCAATTAAAGATGTAGCCTCTCAGATAACTGTGCTCGTTCATTTAGACCCTTAACAATGTGACCCATTTCTCCTAATCGAGTGGAATTTGAAAGATCTTCACCAATTACGATAAAAACAAGTATAATAGCTATTATTTATTATTTAGATTGAAAAAATTTAACGGCACGGGCGGGATTTGAACCGACATCCACATCGTTTCGTTCGGCTGCTCTAAGCAATTGAGCTACCGTTACGCATTTAAAAGTGACATCTGTGGGCACTGTGTTACACACGGATAAAAGGTTTGTGTAACTATGATTACAAATAATGGAAGTATTAATAAGTAAAAGCGACAGCGGTTTCAATCTTTTCCAAGATACAACAAAGTATCTACATGATTACCGTGGAAATATTAAAAAAAGAAAAGGATAAAATGTTAACTATACCATATGTTTAGGCTTAAGTCAAGCTAGTCATATTGATCACACACGCCCACGTACGGAGGCCGCGTAGATATAGGCGTGCCGTCGTGTTAAGAACCCAAACCTCGAAATGTCCAACCTTTATTCAACGTGTAGGTGCAATTAAATGCATAACTTGGCTATAATATATACAGCTAAGGCCGCTAAGAAACCGTGTACGTCAACACAAAGTTAACTATTATAGCAAAGAGATTGTTAGAATCATAATTCGAATTTTAAAAAAACAATTAGTAGTAATCATTATGAAACACAACTAAACTGGAATAAAATAAAATTGTTAATTTTCGTACGTGTAAGATTGTATTGAGTATGTTATACGATAAATATAGATTTCTCTCTCTCTTTGTTACATAATCTTAAAGAGATGCTCGTGTTTAAATAAAACACTCTTAACTGTGTAAAACTTAAAATATTGTAGTTAACTTATATTTAATTTATTTTAACTACGGTCCTACGTTTCGGATTTTATGCACCAGCCGTGGTCACGGTGGCTTGAAGGTGAAATCATATTATGTCAAAATAAAGTAAAATAAGTCAACTAATATATGCTTAATAAACCGATAATAGCTACACACGACATAATCGTAGTTTGATATTTATATAAGTATATGTATGTTTGGCAATTGTTGTATACACAATGTTTTACACCTTTCCTATTCTGAGATTTACAAGCAATAGCTTTATGGGATTCCAATAAGGATTGACGTTTGCGGTTGGAGGTTAACCAGCTGTTGTTTTATAGTTGTTTTGCCAGTTTTCTTCGTTGTACAAGCGACTTCGCATCTTAAGAGTAAATACGAGACTTTGTGCGTAATTGTTTGGTTACAAGACATTGACGTAAGCATGACTTCAAAAATTCATTATGAGTTTGAATTATTCTTGTGAACTCATTCATCTAATAATTTTTAGATTTATACTTAACAACCACTCAGTGAATTAATTATTAAACCTGTTCCTAATCTCTAATCCACCGATTGATATTATTGTAAATAAATATTTCCTTAATAAATTTTAAAGAAATAATAGGCCGTCGTTTAATGTAAATGTAAAAAAGGTTATTTAGTAATTGCTTGTATGTTTATTTGTGTTTTCAAAGTGTTTTATTATTAATAATAATCAACGTAGTGTAGAGGTGTACGAACGAATGAATGACAGAATGTTACCATTCATTGGATCAATCAATACTCTATTGAGCATCGTAAACAAACACTTTCGGTCATGGGAAAGGAATTTGTATAATAATCTATCTTTATAGACAGCAGGCATTTTTATGATGGTTTGGGAAAATTACCTGATTTTGATAAATAGTAATGTATGTACATATTTTGTAGTTATATTGACCAAGTATTTGACGCG